CCTGCAGTCCGTTTCTACAGAAAGCCCCATTTTGTTCAGATGGTACCTTAACTTGCAGTGTCTTGTCAGGTAGCCTGTAATAGTCCTAAGACCCTCCCGGCTGAGTTAACGGAGTCTTTCTGAGTCCCCCCTGGAAGGAGTTATGAATTTTTCCTTTTTGGTTGTTGTTGTTTCCGACAGGGTGGGTGTATGATGTATTTTGGAACGAATTTCCGTTTGAGCTATTGTGTATTATTGTATCTGTGGCTGTTGGTTTTTTGTATATTTCGAACTTTATCTTGTTCGTGTTATCGTTTATTTTAATTGTTAAATCCAGATAGTTAATCTTTCTTTCCTCTTCCGTTTCCATGGTGAACTTTATATTCTGGTGTTGTTTGTTGAGATAGTCTAGTATCTGTTTCTCTTTGTTTCCCTCTATTAGACATATTACATCATCGATATATCTCGCGTAGAATTTTACTCCTAGATTGGTCGATAGGTTTTCCATGTATTTCTCCTCCAGTGTTTGCATGAAACCACCCACAGCAACACAAAAATGCAGCACTTAGACAACTAATAAGGAGGCTTGAAAGGACCCCTCTAACAGAAGAAGACTACAAGAAGGAACTGGATACAATATATGCCATTGCGGAAAATAACGGATATAGGTGAGGCCTGGTTGAGAAGTTAAGAATAGACACAAAATCGAAAAAGACTAGCAAAGAGGAAAACAATAAAAAAACTTGGGCAGTTCTAACTTACACAGGAAAGACATCTTATAAACTTGCCAAATTCTTTCATAAGTACGACATTCGGACATCATTTAAAACAATGAACACAGTGGGAAGTATATTGAAAGAGAAAATAAGCGAGGAAGACCCGCTAGATAAACAGGGTGTTTACAAGTTAACCTGCGAGTGCCGACACAGCTACATAGGACAAACACGGCGAAATATAAGAATAAGGTATCGAGAACACATAAGGGATTATAATAAGAAAAAACGAAAACCAGAGGCTGCAAGAGAATCGAACTTCGCGAATCACATGATCAAAAATAAATGCACATCAATGAAGATTGGACAAACAACAGAACTTCTCCGTGTACAACATAAAGGAGAAAGATTGAATATATTAGAAAATATGGAAATATATAAACAGAAGACCTTCAAAGGACAGATAATAAATGAGCAAATAAATACTGTATCGGACGTACTGTTTGAACCTCCAAAACTACTGTACGAGAAGAAAAATTACAACAACAAAATATTAAGGACAGACATAGAGGGAATACACCAACTGCAAAAACAAAAAAGGTAAACATCACGGACTTCTACCTGACGTCAAAAACGAGCCAAAACAATTCATCTAACTATTGAGCATCGCAAACACTGCAAAACTAAAAAGACGTACCTAACAAAAGAAAGAGGTAGTTAACAAGGAGTATAAATACGAGCAACCAACAAAAATTATGCAGAACGAAAAATGACACTGAAGATGGCACAACGCCGAAACCGGTTTATCTCCAAACCAAATTTGACAAGGAATGACGGAAATTCGTTCCAAAATACAGTTATGAATTTCTTTGATTGTCTCATTCCCTTTGACTTACGCCAGTGGGCAGCAATCTGACATTCCTCCCAACTCCTAAGTAGTTCTGCAGTGTATCCTGTAGATGTACCACAGAAAGGCTCGGGACCATGCATTCGCGTTTGGGCCCCACGTTTTGCGAGATAGTCAGCCATTTCGTTGCCTTCAAATCCTTCATGCCCAGGGACCCACCACAGCGTAACTCTATTATGGGCTTATAGGCCCTTCATTCTGACCCTCGACAAGGCCAAGGATACTGTGCACTGGAGTGATTGATGGCTCCGGAAAGTACCCAAAGTAGACACTGGGTTTGGGCACGTCAGTGACATTCATTGCCACAATTTCCGCGCCCTTCCAAGGTTTCAGGGTTTGGGATACCATGCGCAGCCACTCCAGCGTTTCAGCGTCTCCGCAGCCAATTGACATCCATCCCGGACGGAAGGTGCAACCACCTCATGCATGTCGCCTCACCACCTCCAGGATGGCCGCCTGAATGGCCTGTAGTTGGTCTAAGGACCAAAGCGATTTAGGGTACCCTTTAGGGAGTAACCCTAACCTAACCCCATTACCAATGTCCGTCTGACAGGTCGGCGCCTTTGTGACATCGGCAAAAGTTGCCTTGACACTAGGTTCCTTTGGTCTCATATGGGCCCTTTTGTTAGCTGGACCTGGTTTCCGTTTGGGAGAGTTCACCACCGGGGAAGATGTCAGGTTCACCGATCGGTTCCTCTTAAGCTTTGTGCCAGCCAGCAAAGCCAGTTCGGCCTTTCCTTTTGCCATCGGAATACTGTCTAGCCGTTTGGCATCGCTTTCGCTGACACCTCTGGAGAGGTAGAATTTGTAGCGCTTTTTACCTGCTCCAGAGAGTTTTCTTTTAGGAGTACTAGCTTCCTCCTGCTGTGACGTTAAGAGCGCCTCCTCCTCGTCTGTGGGTATTTGGATGTCGTTGCCATTTGAACCAGAGCCCATGTTGACAATATCGACATCCATGGCCACCGGGTTGCTGAGAAGGCCGTTTGGATCAAAGTCCATTTCGCCTACTACAGCATCCCGAGAGGGTTGAGGGCCTTGGCCGTCTGGATTTGCACCCAGTTCGTCCGCTGCGATCGCCATTGTCGGAGGGCCACTGTTAGAGGGCACAGAGATTTTATTGTTTTTTTATTTTTTATTTGTGTTTCTTCCATAGAATCCCACGAGTAAGGGGGAAGAGAGAGGTCATCCGAGGCAGAGCCCCGGTACCCCGGAAAGACTAAATAAAACCAGACGGCGCCACGTGACTGGAGTACAACGTAAAAAGCCACACTAACGTAGTGCCATTCAGTCCGCAGGCACGGTCTGATTAACACCTGGACTTACGGATTTTATCGAGTTGTTCTCTCTAGATCCGCCATATTCAGTAAAAGCAGGGGCACCTCTCGCAGGCTGTGACTCTTCGCCACGTATGGTCGGTCTTGAGCCATCGACAGCCCGTGATCCAGAGCACTGCATCACGTGTGATAACAGCACCAAGAACCTTGACCCCCTCACCTTTCTTAACAACGCCCCTAAGCTGGCATAAGTCCGTCTTGTCATCAGTCAGTCATTTCAAAGTCCTCCGTCATCGAGTATCCACTTCCCCTGCGTTGCCCAAGCGCAACACCCATACCAAAATCCTGTGCTCAGCACTTCATACTCAATTATCCTCAGCCATCAACAAACTCCTGCATTCAGCTTATCATATTTTTTCTAACTCTTTATTGACAATCTCAACTTATCTACTATTTTTAACACCATGAAGATTTCTTTCTATCACCCTAATGCTAACAAATATTCATTCAATTATAGAAAAAATTCAGGTTTTTAATTTTTATCTCTTATTGCCTATTAATCCTAAGCACTACTCTCATTTTTTCACAAATACCCTAATCCCTGAACAAAAGCATTGAATCGAACATAAATCAAGATTTAATCTTATACCTTATTTCCTATAAATTCCAAATATATGATTTTCAATTTATTTTTTTCTTCCTTTTTTACCACCCTAACACATATTTCCCCTCTACTTAAATGTATCTAAATACATATTCACTAACAATGAATTATAACTATCTATTTTGCTCTCTCTGTAAAAATAAATAAGTTCCGTAATGATAACACTTTGACTTCAATAGTAATTCAGTATTACAACAACAAAAAGACCCGGTAAATATTGGTATAGTTTACGTACATACATATATCCAGCGGGCCCATATGTATATATATACATATATATGTATATGTGCATATATGTATAGTATTATATTCAAAAACAATTCATGTACTCACCTTGGCCTCCAGCGATGATGGTAGCAGGATGCTGTCGAGAACCTGTGTGGAGAGTTAGAGAGCCTACTATATATAAAGATGGCTATATATGCATACATATGTACATACATCTGCAGTCACGATACTGAGGTCTGTACCTACTGCCCTACTGTTTTTAAAGTAAAAGCACTCGCTCGTGATACCGGGCGGCGAGCGAGTCGGAAAACTACCGGAGAAAATATACATGTACATATAAGAATTGAATAATAAAAATAAAAATTAATAAAATAAAATTTAATGTGAGCTAACCAAACCTTATGATGCGTGTAACAAAAATAGTGAACCTAGCTCAGAACGTGGCCTGTGAATCGAATTCTAAAAAAAACAAAAATACTTGCATGTATACACATGTATACATATACTGCCAATTGCGAACGGTAAGGAAACCAAATATATAAGTTCATATGTCCGTCTGGCTATAGCATATATGTAAGCATACGTGTATATTTAACGAAATGCAAAAATTTTGTTTGAAATCACTTCGTTTCGGAGTGTTCAAAAAAAAGTTATTGCGCTGAACAAAACTATGCAGATTAATAAAAAAGACCTGTCCAAAGAAAAAAAACCGAAAAAAATCAGCAATTGAATTCATGCCTGTAAAGGCCAGGGATTGCAAATCCGAAGAAAAAAAGAATAACTAAAAAGTAATGCGAAAATCAAGTAATCTAAAGCAAGGTATGTAAAAGCCCTGAGTTCCCCACATACATAAACATACGAGAACTTAAACTAGGTAGGAAAAATAAGCGAACAAAAAAACTAAGCAAAAGCGATTAAGTGCAAGAACCAAAGATGATCGCGGCGCAGCAGCGGATCCGCAGCGTAGGCGCTGTGCTGGTCTGTTACGCTCCTGCTATGTATGCTGTCCCACGATGTTACGCTCTCCTCTGCTTCTCACAGCACTGCTCTCCTTGGCTTTATGCTCCTTCTCGCTTAATACTTTTTCTCAGTGGCTGTTAGTCTGCTCCGCCAAGATCTTCCAGACCAGCTGTTCGTTTGTTTAGGACTTAGCTACGGTTGCAGGTCTTCGCCCGTATATCTGTTGGCTTTAAATGTATGTATCGATGTCTGTTGATGTGTTCGGATGTGTTTGGATGTGTGTACGCGCGTGGATTGATGAAGTAGTTGGTTTACCTTTGGTGCGTCTGTCAACAGCTTTTTTTCACGCCCCGTATAGTACAAGGTACGCTTGGCGCTGTCTTCTAAGCGTTCGCGCAGTGGATGACCTTTTATGCACAAACGACCTGGGGCCTGTAACACAAAGTCTACAATTGTAACAAGTCTACAAGTTATTAGTGATTGGCTTGTAGCTACAATTTCTATAACTTTTTGTAACACAATATTATTTTATACACTTGTAGCTATCAGCGAAATATTCTACACTTGTAAATGTAGTTTCTACAAGCTTTTTTTAGATGCATTTCGACTTGCACTTTAATATACAAATTTTTAATAGCCTTGATTTACAGCCAGATTCTCTATCTCGAAACGAGCGTTCGTCTCGTCTGAACAGCCGTTTGTTCGTGTATTTGTACTACCTAACACGAATTCGCTACCCTGGCGATAACTAGTCGATAACAGCTGATTTTTATGTGACGAAAACGTAACAAATGTGAATTCTCTAACCCGAATACGACTTTAAATAAAGAAAAAAGTGTCAAATTCAAACGAAAGAGTTTTTGCTATCATGCGAGCCGCTAAAATGGATAATTCAAGCAAAAAAGACAAAAAATAATCGAAAAAACATTCGTCTTATTATAATTAATTGTTTGGTATATTTTACAGTGTTTAAAAACTTCCAGTGCTCAGTTCGATGTGCTGGTAAAAGAGCTGGAGAAAAATCCAGACTTGGCAAGATGCGCTCCAACGTTTGGTGTGAGTAAGAGCCTGGTAGAACTACAGTGGAATGAATTAACCAATAAATTAAACGCACATGGACCTCCACAAAGAACAGCTACCGAATGGAAAAAGGTAACTCCTTTTTATAAATAGTAAATTGTATCAAAAATTGAGCTTGTAATTTTGTTCCAGATTTGGGCTCATCTTAAAAGCCGCACAAAGAAGAAAATTGCGGAAAATGCGTCCAACATGCCTGTTCGGAATGCTAGAAATGCACGTCTACTTACTCGGCGTCTAGAAATTCCAATACATTTGTACTGTCTCGAAGCCTCCGCCTCTGAATTCTCTTTTCATCCAATCAAAAAACGTATTTGGGCAAAAGAGAAGGCGCGCTCCTGATGTTAACACTCGCTACAATTATAACGTGTTGTCTCTTATAGATTTACGTTCTTTGCTTATACTATTTTAAGAAATAACAAGTTTTGTGAGCATATTGCAAATATATTGAAATTTTTTAGGTCAATCCGAAATTTACACCAATTTTTATTATTTTTTCCACTTCTACAACATTTTTTGGCAAAACATCAAAAGAAAATAGTCTCTTTTAGTCACTACTTTGAAAATAGTGTTTTATTCCGAGTAGAACTAAGTACCTTTATAAAAATCAATAGACAATTTCGGAAGTTGTGATTTTTCTAAAGATTTTTCCAAAATCACTTCGATAATATTTCACAGAAAATTTGAATCAGTTGGATTCACTTTTAGGTTTCAATAGTTCGTCTAGTTGACCTTCAACTTTTTGGGCAGAGCCGCATGCGTGTTGACGTGGAATGGCCCATATAATTCCTATGTATATTGCATATCTATGTATGAGTGTTTTTTTCATCCGAAAGCATTTTATGTATAATAGATACATATAGCGCGGGAATTCTATTATAACTTTAGTATAAAACGGGATTTAGGTTATATATAAACGGGATTTTATTAAACCTGTTACTGGCAACACTGCGTCAGATATATTCAGCCCTGTTCTGCAATCCGAGTCGGAATCGTATCGGAATCGGAAGACTCGGAATTTAAATGGTGTTCCACAATCCGATCAGTACTTTTGTTTCGAAGTTAATATCGAATCCGATTGTAGAAAAAAAGGAACAAACCTCCTTTCAATTGCGTTCTGAAATGTCAAAATTCATTTGAAGAAATTAAAAAGTGAAAACTAAAATGAGTTTAATGTTTTTATTAGCTGTTTGCTCAATAATGAGCAGCAAACAAATGAAAAAGTGAGGCAAAGAATATTGCGCGATCGCAGCAATCTCATACAATTCCCGGACCCTGCGTAAGTAGTATGCAAACAACTGTTTTCTCTTTTGCTGTTTCAAAGTATAATTTTATATTTTACAACTCTCTTGCACTCCTCAAGATTTTGGGTGACTTGCAGCCTCATATACGCAAAAAGTTCCATTCCTGGGAGCAAAGCGAATGGACCAACACCGCTTTGGGAAGGAGCACCGTACCATTGCCGACGTTACCGACACAATGTTGTGTGCATGGAGTCTGTGATGTTGGTAACGATGATTAACTGGGGATTAAGTATCGAAATGGTGATCGCGATTCGTGGTTATTGGATGATGCCGGGTATGCTTTGGAACCTTTTCTGTTGAAACCGTATATAAATCCATAGCCACGGTCTATACAACACGCATTTAATCAAACAAATTTTTCGGCACGTAAAGGTGCATTTACATCAGGGGTCGGCAAAAATGAAACTGTGACTGTGTTGGTGAGAGCACGATTAGATCACAGACAAGCGTTCGTCGCTTGAATTGAATGAAAGTATGTATGTATGTTTGTTGGTTAATACGCAAGCAGTTTATATAAATTTTATAACCTGCCACATATTGACTAATTTTCACTTTTTATTTTTATTTAATTTAATTTAATTTGTACTTTTTATACTTTTCGCACATCATTATTTTACGAAATATATGTTCAGTATACATAGACAGAGTACAGCCAACTTCGATGTTGCTTCGTTGCTTGCTCAGCGACGACTAAACGAAAGAGCGTAACAAATGCGTGTGATGAGAGCTTCAATAATTGTTGTATGGCGTGCCGACCATTGATTTACATGGTATGAAGCTATATGAACTGTTGATACGCTAAAATAGAGGGACTACATGTTCCAACGCTAGGCATCATCAGTGTTACCATTTTAGCCGTTTTCCGACTAGATTTAGCCGGTTGCGATAGCAAACAGCCGGAGAAATTTCGATTTAGCCGGCAGCCGATTTGTTAGCCGTTTTGCAGAAAAAAA